GCCTCCTCTAAGAGGAAGGCAAATCTGCTCTGAAGAAATCTAGCCAAGAAAACTCAAGGATAGGTTCACCTTAGTCAGACACAACCTGAAGGTACACAGTGAAGAAGATAAAAAGCAAGGTAGTCCCGGCAAGGGAATCATGACTTGCTATTAGCCATCTAGTGAATATCATGGCCAGTTGGGACTTTGGTGTCATTTCAGTTCTGTCTCTGCCAAATAACTAGGTTTGCTTTTTAGCCTGTGTGTGTTCAGGTAAATTGTCCTGACACATTATGTTTTCTTTGGCCCAATAAACTATGGATTTTCTTTAGCAAAAGTGTGTTTATTACTGGGTTCTCACTATGTCTGTTCCTAGCAAATTAGAAGACAAAAAATGGCTATTACATATTCTTGAAGTACAGGAGGCCTTGTTGTCTCTCATAAAGCACTCATGTTCTAACATATATGCTCAATTTTAGGGTAATTTAAACTATTGATTGGGGGACTGCATCTCCTTTCCCTTCTGCGTTTCCATGAGGTAGACTATTATTTTTGTTCCAATTCCTCCTTGTCCTATTTTCTCTGTCTAAATTAGTCACCTTCTTCTCATTTGGATTTAATTGCAGTCAGTAACAAGTTTCTCCCATGTTATGCCAACTCTCTTTGCTTCAGGACAGGTCTCTTGTGGATAGTATTGTGGTTTCTTAGACAAAAATTGTAATCACTCTTCACAAGACATGAAGAGTCGTACGAGGTTTTTCCCCCTCTCTCGTTCACAAAGAGAAAATAGCTTTTCTGATTGCATAGCTGGGAAGTATAAATCAAAATGCATTTCATTTACTCATACTCTTTCGATAGATGGAAAGCTGAAAATAACAGAATGGGTAGAGGGGGGTTGCAAGTGAGTTAATGATAAACGAGACTTCTTTAAAAGATGTAAACTGACCAGTTGATCCATTCATATCCTCTCAGTAGACATTGCTGTGAATTTATTCTTCAAGTAGATTTTTTAAATATATTGAACATTTGGAGAAGGGTAAGATGAATACAGTGAGCCCCCAGTATTTTCTGGGGTTTGGTTCCAGGACCCTTTGTGGACATCTAAATCAGTGGATGCTCAACTCCCATGACAGATAATGGCATAGAAAATGGTGCCTCTTATATCAAATGGCACAATGAAGGCTTGCAGTCCCTGGGTAGCTGAATGTGCAGGTACAAGATTCATGGATATGGAGGTCAAACTATATGCTTGCTTCACTACGATGTTTGTTGTGGCTTGCCTTTTTAAAAAATATTGGGCATGGAATGTTTGTGATTCCAGATGCTGTGACCTACATTTCCTGCCATTGCCATATAGGGTATTTCTACAGGGTAGAATTAAGGCAATTTGACACAACTTTGACTTTCATGGATCAAAATTATGGAAACATGGGAGTTGTAGTTTTACAAGGCACTTAACTTTCTCTACCAAAGAGTGTTAGTGCCTCAGCAAACTACAAATCCCAGCATTCCATAGCATTGAGCCATGGCAGTTCAAGTGGTGTCAAATTGCATTTGTTCCATAGCATAGAGAAAAGGTCTTTTAGATCTGACTATCGGGGAGAAAGGGTTAATGTCATACCCCCCTTATCCTCCCCATCAGTATCAGAGGCACATTTTATCTCACCAACACAGTATTGAAGTTGGATCCAAAGGACAAGTACTGATCATTTAATAAAACTACAGTCCTCCTATGCTTTGCCAATGAAGTCAGCACTGATGTACATCACTGTCATGCAGTAATTTGAGTTTCACTTGTGGTTGAGGAGACTGTAATTCGCATTAAAAGGAAGTGTGACAACCCCCACTCCATGTTTTCCTCTGACATAGTTTGCATTATATCTAACTAGATATAAGAAGACCCAGAAAAAAACTGGGAAATATTGTTGTCGTTCCCCCCAAAATTGAGAAAAATATTATTAAAAACACTGAAAAATTGAATTGTGGAATATTTCCTTTTAGAGTATTAAATAAAATGTTGAAAACAAAGGGTTAATATATTTCATTTCCCCAACTTATTTCTAAAACATGTTGAACATGTTTTATGCAAGAAACTGTACAGTATCTGATCATTGGAATTCCTAGTCTTGGTTTCCTTGTCTCTGTCATTTTTAATGGCAATTGATGCTTATGTCTACTTGAAGCTGTGGAGATCTAGCGGGGACAAAATGATTTTCCCTGTGGTCTAAATGTTCATGGTGTCTTCTCTTTTTGTTCATTTTTATCTTAACGAACTAGTAAAAACCAAAGAGATTACAGTTCAGGACCATATAGCTCCCTGGTAACAAAAAAAAATCAAAATTAAAAAAGGGCATTAAAAATTTAAAAAGTACACTCAATTTGTAATTATTGTTGAAATAACCTGTACTTTTTAATAAACCAGAGATAATAAGCTTATGTCAAACCAAATTATTCTTAATACTGTTTATTTCCCTAAAGCAACGTTCAGTCTGTAACAGGTGCACATATCACATTTTTAATTTTTGTTTTGACAATTTCTATTTTCCCCTGGGAAGAAAAAACAGTTAAAATGGGTAAAAACTATTTCCCCCGTGGTTTTAACATTTCTGGAAAATTTACATCTCTGTATCCTGCATTACATCTTGTAATTTGCTTCATTTGTCACTGTCTTCAGACAGAAGCAATTGGGTGGACATGCTTATTTTTAGAAAGTGAGTTAATAGGGGAACAAGTGGATTGAAAGGAGCGTGAAGCTCTTGCCTCTTTGACAATTGAAGTGTGGAATCAGGTAAAAATTAGAATGATTAACAAAAATTATATCAAAGGGAGGATGATTTTTGGCTGAGATTGGATCTTTGCAGACAGGACTTGCAAATGTTATTCTGCTTTTACTGACTGTTGGAGCACAGCATGCCTCTTGAATCAAGCACTATTTCTCAACATTGTCATTTGATAACCGACTTATGTCTGCTTGACTTGCCAGTATGTTTCCTCTATTTGCGAAGAAATTTCCCCTTCCCTCCTCCTGATGTTAAGCAGACAAAGCACCCTGTATTTTTATTTAATTATACTGTGTAAACCACCATCATCACAAGGCTTCCTTCAGTTGCTGGCCCTAGCTGTTTTTCTCTAAAGATGATTATATTGCTTTCAGCCCAGTTAATTGCCAAACAATAGACTAGCTGGCGCTGCTCAGCCATAGGAGAAGGGATAAATGTGGAAATCCTCCATTCGGATCTCATCTCGGCTGCATTGGCTTGGAGGGATGCTCCAAAGGGACTTTTGGCTTCCTCTAACAGACTTCCCTACACATCAAGGACTTGCTTAGACTGTATGCCACTTGGGGTCACTAGCGATGTATGAGTTGTGCAGGACTGATAGAGACAAAAGCCTGGCTCAACATGATGTGAGGCTGTCAGGCTTTAGCTATACAGTCACTGTGGAGGATCTTGAGCTTCCAAGAGGTCTGGTTTTTTAAATAGTGTTTTCCCCACTTTTATGGGAATCCTGTACCCCTAACCCCAGCAAATATAGAGAGCTGACAATGGTTTGGGTTATTTTTCTTGTCAGAAGCAAATTGTATTTAAATCAAAATGTATTTAAAAACACAAACAAAGTTAAAAACTTGGCATTATACTAGATTTCCTTTGACCAGAAGCTGGCCACTTGGAGTGCCTCTGTTGCCACTGTGAGAAGGTCCTCCATTGTGCATGTGGCAGGGCTCAGGTTGCATTGTAGTAAGTGGTCTGTGGTTTGCTTTTCTCCACACTCACTTGTGGACTCCACTTTGTGGCCCCATTTCTTAAGATTGGCTCTGCACCTCTGGTGCCAGAGCACAGTCTGTTCAGCTTCTTCCAAGTCGCCCAGTCTTCTGTGTGCCCAGGGGGGAGTTTCTCATCTGATATAAGCCATGGATTGAGGTTCTGAGTTTTAGCCTGCCACTTTTGGACTCTCACTTGCTGAGGTGTTCCTGTGAGTATCTCTGTAGATCTTAGGAAGCTATTTCTTGATTTAAGGTGTTGGCATGCTGGCTGGTATCCGTACAGAGGATGGGCCAGAGATGCTCATGCCTTGATCCTTTCATTACTGCTTGCTACTTCTCGACAGATATCAATATCGCCTAAACAGTATTATTTCTGTAGCAGCATAATTTCTAATGCAGAATGTCTTATTAAGAGCCACATCCACTGTTTTAAAGCATGCATATTCAGTAGCAGAGTAGCAAAGCGCAAGGACAGATGTCTTCACTGTGCCTGGTTGTGATCCCCAGGTTGTGTCAGCTCCATGTTTGAGTGGTGATGGCACGATCGTCAGCATTAATGAGAAAAGCCTCCCCGCAGGATAGTAACACATCCGGGCATCCCCTGGGCAACATTTTTGTAGACAGCTGATTATCTCACACCAGAAGTGACTTGTAGTATGCAACCAACCAGAAATAAATTGAAGTATGGTTTGGGTTAACGTGTTTAGAAGGAATTGGGGAAAGCTTCTGCCTTGTCACTTCAGACCCGGATTGCTTTGAGAAGCAGCTTTTCTGGCCTCCGAGAAGAAAGTCTGTGCTACTCTTTTTTTTGTTTTCTCGACAGTATACAAAATTATTTATTTCTCATATCTTTTGGTTCTCATATCTTTTGGTTATTGTTACACTGGCCAACACACATTTTGATGTCTCCAATGTTAGTCCTGTTTTTGGGTATATTTGAGATGCTGGTTCCAAAAGTGGCACCAGTCCCCCCCCCCCCCCAGTTCTAGTTTTTGAGACATAGAACATATGGCATCTACCAGTCACCATCTGCTCATCCATAGAAAACCAAGATAACTATATCTGAGAAACTAGAACTGGTGCAGCCTATCCAATGCCATTTCCTGAATCAGCACCCCAAAGAACCCCAGGAACAGACCTAAAAACAAACATTTTTTGGTTAGGCTTTGTGATTAGTTAATTTTTTTTCTATTGTAATTTTAGAGCAACACAATGAAGATGACTAAGTGTGTGTGTGTTTTCTTTATATTCATATCAGAGTCAACCTTGATATAAGGTAGACGGAGCTGGCTCTCTCAGATGGAAGGTTTGAGGCATCATGAAATGATTGCAAATGGTTAGATATTTTCTGTATTATTGTCTTCTTACAGTAGGGAGAGGTGCTAATGGGATTTTCTGCCATTAGCTGGCTTTGGTTGTGACCACTTTAGAAAGGGGGCATCTGTTCCTTGCCATAACCAGCAAAATATTTGGGGTCAGCCCTGTAGTGCATAAACATTCCTGCACGTAGAACACCAACTTGGCAGGGATGTTTATATACCATCGAGTTTATACATCTACATGGGCAGGAAACCCTAGGGCTGATGCCCGCCACTGTAATGATGAAATGAAGGAGTCCTGACTGTCCAGTAAGGTTGAACCAAGCTTGCAGAGGGAGAAAGGAGGAAGAGTGATCCCTTCTCTCTCCGAGTTGTGTGGGCACCCTTGCAAAGGTCAGCGAAGGTGCCCCAAGATGGTTTGCAGCTCTTTGGAGTTCCATGGCCACTGCAACAATGATGACAGGACCACATCTTCCCCCTGTCCCTGAGAGTTGAGCCAATGGAAAACGGGATGGCCTTGTAGACAGCCTGCACAACCTTTGGCGTTCCAGCTATTTTGCCCTCCAATTCCCAGAAAACCTGGCCATTGGACAAGCTGGCTAGGGCTTCTGGGAGTTGAAGGCCAAAACAGCTGGAGGGCCACAGGTTATGCAGGCCTGGTCTAAATCCATCATCAGTGGGATTCACATAGCTGTCCTGATGTGAGTGGACTACAACTGCCATCATCCTGTGTCAATCCCCACCTAAACTCTACCTGTATTTCAAGTTGGTTCATGATGGGTCTGTGTATCAACTGTGGTTCAAATCCATCAAGCCATCTAGGAGCCATACCCATACATACATGCCTACATACACATACATATTTTCACTTGTATTACATATATAGAATATATATTCTGAATTTACTATAATATAATTATTATTAATAATAAAATTATTTATTACCCCCTCTCCTTTCAGAGATATATCGCTTACCACATAACTACCCTTTTTTGGGTTTTTTTTTTCTATCTGTATGTATATGATGTTTGACATTATCCAAGGCACATGAAATATTCTGATTTTTTTTGTGGTTTCCAGGAATCTTGTTAAATGGGGCTGGCTCCAGGATTTTGTCAGCTAAAGGAAAGCAACCGAAAGCAGGGTCAGGACCCTTGCATGCATTCCTGCTCGATGGGGCAGTAAGATTGGATGACAGTTTGCTTTCCTCCCTAGTGCAGCCTCAAGATCTGTTTATTTCTTCATTTATTCCATATGCAAGTTGCCCTAGAGCCAAAGTTCTCTGGCTGATGCATGTGCAAAAAATTCCCAACACACAATAAAACAATCAATACATTCCAGTTAAATATGATGAAAAATCAAGACCCATTATCAATGCAATTTCAAATAACATTTCACTGCTTGGGAAAAGCAGACCATTTCTGAGGGTTACTACTGAAAATGCCTGCTTATGAGTAACCACTTGGTAAATCTCTAGGTGCATCTGTGCTACATAGTTGAATCAGTTTGATGCTACTCCTGAGATTGGTAGTTTAAGTAAAATATTGAGACAATAAAGTAGAATAAAGAAGGTCTTAAATAGAAGAACTTAGTGGGATGACAATTTGTTGGTTATTCGTTCAGTCACTTCTGACTATTTGTGACCTCATGGACCAGCCCATGCAAGAGCTCCCTATCGGCTTTCACCACCCCCAGCTAACTCAGATTTTCATCATATATCTTGAAGGAGGGATATCAATTCCTTTTTCATTTTTTATGCAGTGGTTATTGCTTTTAGGTGGGGAAGGGCAGGGAAGTTAGTTTTAATGAATTTATTGCTAGAAAATTACTGGCTTTTATATAATCATACTGATGTTATGTTGATATACCCAAACATAAAATCAGTATTATTATATAATTTGTAACATTCACCATACCAGAAAAAGGAATAGTGGCCTATTGCATTCTTTCTTTTTAGCAAAGTCTACTTTCTATTCTAATCCTATACTATAACTGGATGTAGGATTCCGCTGCAACCACTGAAATACTTTCCAGTGTAACATTTCTCTTTGGTGTAGGACAACACTTAATGAACTTAAATTCATTCTTAATACTTTATTGCTTGTCTTTTTCCAGGAGTGCTGTTGGGCCTATCAAGTTGAGTGTTACTAGCAAGAGAAGTGCATTGCCTAGCCAAGTGAGGTAAGAGTCACTATTCTTTATTTGCAAATGGGACCTTTTTAAAGAAGTGATTTGTCTAGATAGCTAATGTACAACTGCAGTCTTAGGGCCCTTCCAGACAGGCCCTATATCCCAGGAAATGATCCTAGGTTTTCTGTTTATCTGGCAGTGTGGACTCATATAATGCAGTTTAAAGCAGAAAACCTAGGACCAGATCCTGGGATATAGGGCCTGTCTGAAAGGGCCCGTAGAAGTTTTGAACCTTCCCGACTTTTGCTGTTCTCAAACCTATTTCTGCTCAAAGAGAACCTTTGCCCTCTTTGAGCAGAAATCTGACAATGGAAAACTTAAGTTCAGTTTCTGGAAATTACTTTTAGTGACCCTTTTTTGGCTCAGGGCTGAAATAATCAAGACAGTTGAAGTCTTTAAGATGTAGATCAGTTTGCTGAGGTTTGCCAGTGACAGAGTACATGTGTTGAACATAGAAGGGCCCCTCACACTAGCAATTATGACTAGAAAATGTCCCCATCTGAAACTATGCCTCTGCTGGTGAATATAGACAACATGTCTATATATAGACCACAAACTGTCCTGGTCTACTCATATTGCTTCTATTATCCTCAAAGCTCTAGTAAGCAGTTCAGCCATTTTGTGTTTTACCACTACTAAAGGGGGCAGTTCATACCTTCAGCAACTAAAGTCTTTAATGCTAAGATAGCTTCCCAGCTGCTTTATGCTTCCAGCATCTGGATTGGTGGCTTCACATCAAAAACTGACCAACAGCAAACACAGTTTTTGAGGGCCCTTTTCTAGCTTTCCAGATGTGTACCATCTTGTGCCTTATTACTTGAATCTTAGGAAGCACGCTTGTCAATAAAAGCCTAGTGGTGGGCACTTAAATACTGGCTCAAGATCAGAGTTTTTAGTTTAGGATCCGGTTTGATTCATCCCTTAACTTAGGATGAGTACATAAGCAGTTGCTTCAAGATAAATTCTAAGAACGCCTCCTCCGTCGGACTTTCCACATCCCTCCTAACTCATCCGGGTTTTTGACATGGCTCTCAAATAAAACAGAGACTGTGGGACATTGCCTTTTGATAGCTGTGCTCTCATTCTGATGTATCTTGCTCCCTTAGTGCCCCGTCCATACATTTCCATGTAGCAAACTATCTAAAGAACTTGACTATGGCCAAATACCATTACCTATTTTCCAAAGCAAGGTAAGGTGTAATTTGCTCCCATCTGAATTGCTGCGTGGGGGATTTGCTGGTATCCATATATTGAAAGACCCTGCCCATGTAAAAAACAGGAAGTAGAATGCATCTACCACATTCTACTGTCATGCAGTTTCTATGAGCAGGCCTAAGCATAAATAATCAATTCCCTACTAAGACACTTACCAGTTAGTCCAGTGAAATTTTATGTGAAGTTTCTACTTGGTGATAACTTTTCCCACGTGACCTTGGCGGTTGCCAAGTTTCTTTCTGAGGCAGCCAGGATTAGACAATCCCAATTTTAGACACAGGCTGAAACACACTGGCATTTCTTGTAGTCTTTTACCTATGATTTTTTAGCCAACATGTATTTTAAGCAGCTTTTAACTATTGTAAATTTTACCCATTTGTGTGTTTAATCAACCGGATGTTGCTAATCTCATTAACCTGCATACCTTGTACACCTGTGGTGCAACAAGGGTCTTTGGATCAAATTAAATTTTATTATTGTTGTTGTCAACATGTAGCTAGATGGACGAGTGAAAGGTGTAATTGATCTGAGAGGTAAACCATGAACATAGGGACTATATGAAATATCACATTCACCCCTCCACATCTGTTACAAGAAGCTACCTTATTCCACGCCAAACCATTGGCCATTCTAGAACAGGGCTTCTTCTGTGCTTCACTTGGGATCTCTTCCGGAATGAGATTTCTTACATGAACTCAGGTATATAGTTATATAACATAGGTAGAAAAATTATATATTTACTGATAACACACCAGCATTTACAAAGCTTGCTAAACAAGCTGGTTTTCTTGTTTCCTGAAGTATCTCCTGCACTGTAAACACTGCACAAATTATTCATGTCAGTGTCTGAAACAGCCACTAAATGATGTTCAGCAAACTTCTGCCACTGTCAATTTTTTCGTGACCCCAACATTGAACCAAGGGAACATCATTTGGGGTTGCGACCCACAGTTTAAGAAGCCCTGTTCTAGATTAATATTATCTACATTAACTGGTGGTGGATTTCTAGGGCTTTATTTCCTCCCCACTACAGATGGTTCAGACTGAATTTGAGACTTGTTGCATGCTATGTGTTCTTTCTCACATGGAAGGGGAAGCAAGCCTCTGCAAATGCCATTCCTTTTGGCAGACAGAGAAACAGCAGCCTGGCCTTCAGTTTGCAATGAAGAGCAGGCATAGCCTTCTTGTGGTCACTTCAACAGAGATCTTGAATAGGTTCATGTGGTGGAGGAAGTGTGAGGCCATTTCCGAGGCTTGGTGTTCTACAGGTGGCTCAGGGTTTTTAAAACTCTAAGAATGCACCTGGAATGAAGTCTAGAAATGAGCCATTGGAATTGGAAAATAAATTGATTAGGTGGTCTCTCCTATAGACTCCAGACACTGTCTAGCTGCAGCATTCTGAATCTTATGTATGAGGCCACCTTATATACAAGTGATAGCCAATGTGATGTAATACTTCATATGTTTTGCTGGGAGTTGGGAGATTCAGATCTAGTGTCACTAAAGAAAGGGCCATATATACCACTTTGAAGAGGAAACTACAATACAGTTAACTGGCATCCATGGGGAATAGTAGTTTCAATGTAGTTTCTGGTTGCTTTAGAGTTACTATTAAAAAGAGGCGTTATATTATATCTCATGCTATACCATACTATAAACTCCATCTTGACTTGATATTACTGTATTTCTTCAATTCCAAGGCACGCTTTTTCCCTATATAAATATCTATATAAATGGGGTGCGCCTTAGAATCACAGGTGCATCCCCGTGTATTTTTGTTCGTGGTGGCGGTACTGAAATTAGGGTGCATCTTGCAATCGATGGTGCCTTACAATGGAAGAAATACAATAATATTGAAATACAGTAATTAAAAAGAAAATTATAAAAATAAAGACAAACTTAAGGTAACACAGTTTTACAGTATTATACAAAAACTTTATGAATACAGTATTATTTTTTATTTATTTTGCTGGTTGCTTGAGAGATCTGGTTACTTGAGTTCTAGTTAATTGAGAGTCTACTGTATCAATATAACTGATAAACAAAACAAGTGGAATGGATTATAGTAGTCCTGTGAAATGGCATGTAAGCCCAGTGAAATGCATGCAAGAAGTAAGTAATGAAGCGAATGAAGAGGAGCCTAGCGAGCCAAACTGAGCATGGCTGGATGCCTATTTAAAGGCATATGCCGTGTCAATAGAGGCTGCAAAGAGTATCTTCTTTGCAGACAATATTGCATCTGCAAAGAACCGTCCGGTGGAGCTGTTCCGAGTAGTCAGAGGTTTGTTAAATCCCACCTCTCAAGACGGGATCCCTGACAACTCGGCAGCCCGCTATGAAGCATTTGCTCAGTTCTTCGCAGACAAAGTCGCTTTGATCCACTCTGGCTTTGACCCCATATTAACGGCAGTCTCTGAGGATGTAACACGAGCATCTGCTTGTCTGATTTTGATGGATTCGTTTCAATCTGTGCAGCTCGAGGATGTGGACAAGATCCTTGGAGAGGCGAGGCCGACCATATGCATCCTAGACTCCTGCCCATCCTGGCTGATAAAGGAAGCCAGAGGGGGTTTGGCAGGGTGGGTGAAGGTGGTGGTTAATTCCTCCCTGCGGGAAGGCAAGTTTCCAGCGAGCCTAAAAGAGGCTGTTATAAAACCGCTGTTGAAGAAACCATCACTAGACACCACCCAATTAGACAACTTTCGGCCAGTTTCCAATTTCCCCTTCTTGGGCAAAGTCCTGGAACGTGTGGTGGCCTCGCAAATTCAGGGATTCTTGGAAGACATGGATTATCTGGATCCGGCACAGTCTGGCTTCAGGCCAGGACATGGGACCGAAACAGCCTTGGTCGCCTTGGTAGATTATCTACACTGGGAGCTAGACAGGGAGAGTGTGTCCCTGTTGGTTCTGCTGGATCTCTCAGTGGCCTTTGATACCATCGAGTCGACCATGGTATCCTTCTGGGACACTTCAGGGATATGGGACTTGGGGGTACTGCTCTGCAGTGGCTCCAGTCCTTCCTTGAAGGTCATCCTTCCTTGAGGGTCACTAAGGAGCTGTTCAGGTCCTGAACCGGTGCTTGGCTGCTGTGTCAGCCTGGATGAGGGCGAACAGATTGAAACTCAATCCAGACAAGACATAGGTACTCCTGGTCAGTCGAAAGGCCGAACAGGGGATAGGGTTACAGCCTGTGTTAGACAGGGTTACACTCCCCCTGAAGACACAGGTTCACAGTTTGGAAGTGATCCTGGATTCATCGCTGAGCCTGGAATCTCCGGTCTAGGAGGTGGCTGGGAGAGCTTTTGCACAATTAAAATGTGTGCGCCAGCTGTGCCCGTTCCTTGGGAAGTCTGATTTGACCATGGTGGTCCACGCTCTGGTTACATCCCGAGTAGACTACTGCAATGCTCTCTACGTGGGGCTGCCTTTGAAAACTACTTGGAAGCTTCAATTAGTCCAATGGTCAGCAGCCAGGTTGCTAGCGGGAGCGGTGTACAGGAGCAAACTACTCCTTTGTTGCACCAGCTTCACTGGATGCCGATTAGGTTCCAGGCACAATTCAAAGTGCTGTTTTTAACCTTTAAAGCCCTAAATGGTTCTGACCCAGTTTACCTGTCCGAACGTATCACCTGCTATGAACCATCTTGCAGCTTAAGATAATCAGGAGAGGCCCTGCTCTCGATCCCGCCACTCTCGCAAATGCGGTTGGTGGGGACGAGAGTCAGGGCCTTCTCAGCAGTGGCCCCCATCTGTGGAACTCCCTCCCTAAGGACATC